ACTGTCGGAGCTGGTCCTTGAGCAGGAGAACCAGCTACCATACTTGAGTTATGATAAGTGCGTTATAGAGGAGCTCAGAGGATGTTCTTTCTCTGTCTTTTCCTCAGGCTGCTTTATCTTCTTTTTCTTTTGGGCTGTGCTGTTCTAAAGGAAAGTTCTAATAATACTTAGGGATCTTTAAAAATCCTTACCATCATCTGTTTGTTTTCGGGTAGTTGGAGTTTGGCATGCTATGAAATTTTGCATACCTTTCTTAGACTTGCAGACACCTGAATAAATAGTCTTCCTGCTTTCATTGTCTTATGTGATGCTCTCCCTGGATATTTTCCTGTTGTTTGTATGAAGGCACTTGGAAAATACAGCTGGGCTTGTAGCCCTTTTCAATCATGTATTTGCCAGCAATGTGTTCATACTCATGGTTAGTGGGAGTGGGAGACACAGCAGAAGTAGTTTGCTCTTACCTTATGGAATTTAATCTCTTTGTGTCTCCAGCTACTGATGAATTACATAAATTAGCTCCCTAACTCCATAGAGGTTAATAAATAAAGTCAGCAAATTCAAAGTTCTAATGTAAACTGTTATTTTTTTTATATGCTTTTTTTTTTTTTTTTTTTTCAAAGAAACAAGCTGGATGTGAACTTTATCAAAATTCAGTAAGTAGTTTTTATAAACCATCTTCAAGTCTTCATTGGTGGAGCTGTGCCCCTCTTCTGTTAAGGAGACATGAGATTTGCATAGAGAAGATTTTTTTACGTTTCAGACCACATAAAATGAATTGTTAATAAATCATTTATCTTTTGTCTTTTTTTCAGGCTATTCATTACCATTTTTTACATCACTCTGTCAGTCAGACTAGTGTGACTGTGCATCTGCATGGTAAACTACATCAAGAAAGGCTAAAAATAATCCAGTTGGGAAAAAAAAGTTAAATTCCTAGCAGATCCTGAAGAGTGTTCCTATTAATGCTCATTTAAGGCTAAAAGAAATTACCATAGGTGAAAAATGGTCATGAACATTCTATCTGGGAGCTACTTTGCTCAGTCAGTCTAGGCAAAAGTCTAGGCTAAACAGATTGAAGACAGTTGCTTCTGGATAATTAGATTATGTGATAAACTAAGCTGCATGTGGAGCAAAGAGGGGTCACAGGAGGGAGAGAGGTGACAGCTGGTAGGTACAGAGAGAGAAGAATCTTGTTGGGTTGGGACAAGGCTGTGAGTACAGTTTGTGTGGTCAAAAGCTGGTGTCTTTCTGTGGTAGTTAAGTATCTATATTCATTTGGAGGTGTTCAGGGACTGGTTGGATGGGGCCCTGGCTCCTGGTCTAGTATTAAATGTGGAGATTGGCGGCCCAGTGGGTTGGAGATTCATGATCCTTGAGGTTCCTTCCAACCCAAGCCTTCTATCATTTGATGATACTGTGATCTAACTTGTCATTAAGTCTGCTTAAGTAGTATACATGACACATTTTTCATATAGTGACACTGTGACATAATAAGCCTCTTCAGCCCATGTGAAAAATTATTGCAGCCAGGTTGATATCTACTGAAATTTTTTAAATTCCTGCTGTTTTGAAATGTTGAGAAGACAAAAGTTTGTGTGCACAGGACAGTGGATTTTGTTCATTAATGAAAAATCAGAGCCAGACTTCGGGGCTCTTGTAAAGAAGAATCTTTTTCCATGTTGCCAATTTTTGTAAAAGAGGCTAACTCTTCTCAATTGTTGAAAGTATCTAATACAAATTCACTGTCTGCATTTCCTCTGTAGTTAAGAGAGGGAGGGAGATAGAGGTGGTGAAGACCATCGGGGTGCTTTTCCATTGCAGGTGGTTTAGGATGAGGCAAATTGCTTTACGAAAATTCTGGCCTCTGGATTTAATAGAGGGAGCATACATCTAAGTATGCTACATACTTTTTAGACAGCTCAAGTTATAGGAGCTGACTCCCACTGAACATTTGATTTAATATCACTTCGTGGGCTGTGACAAACATTAGTGTTTGTATTTTTTCTACAACTCCTATTTATGTATTAGCATAACTGTTGTAATCAGGTAGCCTTGCTGCCTGTATAAACAACCACTTCTTGAATTCCTTTAATCTCTTGGCTTCTCTGCTTACTGCACACTTGTCAATTTAATAAGTTAACTGTATTGTTCAGAAAACGGGTGTTTACTTTTTTTTCTATTTGCTTGTGAAACTGCTCAGATTAATTAGGTGTCACCTTGTTCTTGCATAAGGAGGCAGAAATAGAGCCCATTTTATTAATCTTTGTTTCAGTCCAGTAATACATATATTTTTGGCATGTCTCTGATAACTTCTATGAGAGTCATGTTCTCTTCTGACAACATCTTGTGCTGGGACTGTGCTAAGAATAAAATCTATCAAGCTTGAGAAGTACAGCAGATTTATGTAATAGCTTTGTAATGTTGTTGTTGTTTTCCATCCTGTTTCTTTGGTATGCATACAAGGTGTTTGCTGATTTGCTCGCTGATACCCACTGAACGTATGTTTTTGTTGAGCTTCCCATAGGTCTGGTTTTTGGTTTGCTTTTCCCATATTTAGAACAGTTCACTCTGACCATAGCAGTGAGTTGTCCAGACTAATCGATTTGTGTACATTGCTTTGCATTTCCCAGCATCTAATTTCATTTCTTGCTGGCGTCAGACCATGACTAGTTCCATACATCGGGCAGTGGTTGTCAAGAGGGGAAAACTGGAATAATCAGAGCAAAATTTCAGTCTTACTGATAAGTTGTTACAATATGTGAGAAGGAATGATAAAAAGTTGAAAAGAACTTGGTAATGTCTTGAATTTTATTTGTTTCTTGTGTTGGAGGAAGCTCAGTACAGCTCTAATTTCCTTTTAATCAGGTAATCCTAATAACACTGGTATATAGGAATGCTACAAGAAATCTGCATTTTGACGCTTTCACCTACACTCTTCAGACCTTTTGCTGTCCTGATCTACCACAGATAAGGAAACTTCTGGATTTGGAACAAAACTTAATTATCTTAAGCCCTGTTTTCCCTTGTGCACCATTTTTCTTTCAGGTGGCTTAAAATCAATTGAGAGTGCTTAACTACACAACATGCCATAGTTTTGCTGTGATTTAGGGATTCTTGGATGCATAAAAACATGTTGTACCACTTTGCTGAGAGCCCAAATTAGAGTAGCTGTATTAGCAAACAGTGTGTTCAGGTTAACAAAGGGCTGAGAAATTTTAAGGAACTGCGTTTATAGTGGAATTCACCTATTATAACACAAGTGCTCCATGAAATTCCAAATTAAGATCTTGAGATGAAACACTGATGTTTTGTTTATATTATCTTTCACCATTCATATCTGCCTTCAGTTCTGCTATTTTATTCCTACAGGACCACATAGACGTTATTTTCCCACGTTCCATATGCTCAAATCATGTATAAAGATATTTAGCTCAAATACCATGCATGCAAAACATTCCACACTGTGGATATGAGGTGACGTTTGGTGTGTCTTTAACATGCTGTGCCGTTCAATTACAATACAGCAAATTTATTTTTATGCAGCCTTCTTCATAGAAAGTATAGAAAATTGCTTTGTGGTGAGTCATCTGTCAGCTAAAGAACTAAAAGTCTTGTAGTGATATTTAAAGAGAGAAAGTGGCTCAGAGCTGACAGAGTTCAAGACAGAAAAAGAAACAGAAATGAAAGAGAAGGCCTCTTTCTATGGAGAAAATAGAGGCAAAGACTGGAGAGGGAGGAGTGATGAGAAAGCCAAACGCTCCGGGGATGTCAGAGGCAGCTCAGGATACCACGCAGATCACTTGGAAACGTAATTTGGGCTCCAGATGTCTCTGCTGGATCACTCTGGCATTAGACAAGCAAAGATTCTAGACAGAATTGCATAAAATCAGGTGATCGGGCTCGGTGTGATGAGAGGAATGATGAGAGGTAGAGGTTAAGGGAAGGATAAATGGCTTAACTTATAATGGCAGAGCATTAGAAGAGCACTGGTATTCAGGGCTCCGTGATTAAATGTGTGAGCATTTTGTTAGACTATGGAAGAGGGAAATTTACTTAATTACATGGGAAAATATTATGGGCTTGAATACAGATTTCAGCAGCAGCGCAGTCAAAAAGAGGATGGATTCTGGCAGTCTTCCTTTGCTAGTAACAGGAGGGCTTGCATTCAGAAGTGAACTTGTGTGGGAGCAAGTCAGTTCAGGGTCAGAAATGAGGTCAGGGTGAGAAATTCAGAGGTCTAGTTTTGTGTACACTGATAAGATATGAATAAAGCAACATAAAAGCTGTCTTGGAGAGCAGGAGGGACTTCTTTCCCTTGATGTTGGAACCTTTTGAAGAATTAGCTTGTAAGGAAATTACAGTGTATCAAGGGAATGGCAGAACCAAGGCAGGCTGTTAAAGGAACACAGATTACTTTCCAAGGTCACTGATGCCCTGCATGCTTTCCCTAGAAAGATGATGTCCAAAGCTGAGCTAGCAGTATAATACCCCAAAGAACAGTGATGCTTAAGAAGAAGTAGAAGAATCAGAAACTGATGTTTTTAAGGCACAGTACTATCATGGAGGGATGCATCAGTCCTTCACTGTGAATTACATGTTTTTTTGCATTCTTGGTCAAGTCTAGCAGCTGGTAATGTGGACCTCTTAGGAGAGTTCTTCATCCTATACTCCCCAGCCTGCACACACTGGTTTTGGCCCTGATGCTTCTTTTGGCTTTACTCTCTGTGCAGAACCATATTATGTGTAATATAATCTAAAGTATGTAGCACAAAGGAGAATACAGTCTTTACTGAAAGTAAAAGGGAGAAGAGCTTTTCTTAATGCATTCAAAGAAGTTGGCTTCGACATTGTAGAACTCAAAGGCATTCTAATCAAAAAAGCAAAGTTAGAGACACTCAGATGTCCCAAAATTTGAAAGGAGTAATGTATCATTTTATGCAGTTCCAAAGTGCTTATTACAAATCTTATTTACAACTATCATTTCATTTTTGAATCTGCAGAGGAGGAACATGAAGTACAAACCAAGAGAAAACGCATTCGAAGAAAGAAACTAAAGAACAGTTTACAAGATTCTAATGATTTACATGGAGAACAAGTAGAATCTGGAATGCGGGAGACTCTTGTTCAAGATAATTTACATCTGCAGCAGATAGACAGCTCCAAAATCAGCAAAAACAAAAGGAGAAAAATGAAAAAGAAGCGACAGAAAGAAAAAATGAGAGCAGCTGGCTTGCTAACAAAAACTACCGGTGTGGATTTTACATATCAGCCTGACAAAAGCAACAGAGAAGGAGCAGCAGACTTGAAAGACACAGATGAAAAGGCAGATAGTATTCTGGATTTCTTGCAGGCAACACAGCAAATTTATTTTGCTGACAGTATGTATTACTTTCTCCTTTCTCTTCTGTGAATATTGCCACGTGAGGAAAATAGATGTTCACTTCTTATTTCCATAGAATGGGCCAAGTCTACTAGAGAAGTGTATCTTTTGAGCTCGTAAGTCATGCAGATAATTAGCATTTGTCCCATTTTCTGGTGTGTACAAGAAAACATCCTTATCAACATAAACAACTGTAGTCCTAATTGCTTTGTTTCTCTGTGTTTGAAAACACACATAATATTTCTTTCTCATTTTTAAAATATTCCGGCGTGTTCAGAGTAAGTGTAGTGGTTAACATGGACCAAATTCTTCTTTTCTCTGAAAGCAAACATGCAGCAGTATTGCTTGCTTTTGGAAACGCTCAGATGAAGGCAATAATTGCTGTTCTAAACTGCTTTCATGCTTAGTGTCTCCAATCCAACCTACTTTTCAAAAAGCTCTCCTTCCCAGGAGGAGGTTCGTTCCTAATTTACAATGAAATCTAGACAGATTGCATTCAAGAGGAAAGAGGAAGGTACTGTTGGCGTCGGGAATGAGTTTTCATATTTTCATAATGTATTTTCACTTTTCCTTAAAGTAGTTGTGAAAAAGATGAATGTCAACTGATGTTTAATGCACTTTCTGTAGCACTTTAGATAGGATTACGTAGTTATGATCCCTAATAGCCTATTGTACAACCACTTTGGCCACTAAAATCAGGGAAGTTCTTACTGTTGTAGCTAAATGTGTTTCTTCTCTTGCCCTCCAAAAAAGTTTTGTGTATGATGCTTTCTATGGCATATAAATGTCTTCCAGAAATAATGATGTTTTAATGGTAGGTATCATAATTATATGTACTTACACCAGATTCTGTTGGTATATTCTAGAAGTAAATGTGTTTTCTCAAAGGTAAGGTATTGTGCTCTTTAGCTGCTCAGCTCAGAACGTAGCTTTAAAATTATAACTGTTTTATGAAATTGGAAAAAAAAAGCAGTGAAAATATTTTCCGAGTGCATGGCCTTGGCTGTCTTTGTGGAGCTACACGAAGAATATTAAACAGCTTACCTACCTATATAACCCACCTTAAGTTAGAGCTGTCAGAACTACTCCCATAAAATTCATCTTTCGACTACTGAATTACTTTAAAAGCCCTATTAGGATGACACGAGGGATTTCATGCTATTTTTTTTCTCAAGATTTATGCGTAGAATTTTCTTTGCTTACTGTTAAAATATTTCTGCTGTGTCAAGTCTTCATGTGACGTCTAGTATTTGAAAACCATCCTACTTTCTAGCTAATGTACTTCCATCATCAGAAATCAGAATTTTCCTACTTTATTGTGTGGCTAAGTAAATGTAGCCTACACCATTGGCATGTGCAGTAGTGTAATTCCAGACTGAGTAAAACTGCAAACTCAGTTAACCATTCTGTTATTAATATGTGTCCAAGAACAGAAAACTGGTCAGTTCTGCACAGCTGACAGAAAACCTGTGCAGGTAAGACATTACATCTGTAAGTCAGCGTGACTAGCTCTCTTACTAAGAGAGTCTTGGTATATATATTGCTCTGCCATTATGCTCTTTGCCTTATCCAGTTGAGTGACTTTTAAATTATCCATTTTTTTTGATAAAATTGGAAACCATTGTTTTTAGCAGCACTTTCAAATGGTCACATTGGGTTACAGTCCTTCTACTTAAATCAGAAAGCTGAGTTGGGAAAAGCCTGCTCTTGTAACTTGGTTTGCTGGTTTAATAAAAAAAAACACATTTTTATAATGCATAGTGTGTAAGAACCAAAGGCTTTGGTGACAGTTCACTCTCTACATCATACTTTTCTCATACCAAATTTAGATTTCTCTTGCTTTCGTGTTATTATGAATTTTATTGTCCTTTTTACAGTTTCCCTTCTTATAATTGTTTAAATAATTAATTCAAAATAGAGCTGTTTAGTACGTGATATTTGGTTGTAAGTTGTAGTAAAAAGAAAGTTGCCATCTGTGAAAATTCTGTGTGCATGTTGAATATTCTTATTGTTTTTCCAGATAAATCAAAATGCACAGATTCTACTGTAAATTCAGCTGCTCAAGGGCTTTTACAGTGTCTTGAATCTCGCAACATATCTTCTTCAGATCTAACTCTTCTACATCAGATGAAATCCCTTATATTGCTACAGGATATTGACAGACTGAAGGATGCTTTGAAACAATTCCAAGAACATTCCGTGATGCCTCCTGGTATGTACTATTGACTCATGATCGTTCACTGATGTTCTTTTTTTGTATGGACTAAAATTCAGATTTGTCACAGATTTTTGTGTTGCAAGGCAGTAAATAATTGTATACTAGTAAGCCTACGCTTAGGCAAGATTTGAAAGGATCAATCCCACAGAAAATGTAACAATTCCCCCTATTTCTTGTTTAGTTATGAAGTTTCTGTATTCTGCAGTTGCAGAGTGCAAGAAGATGATTAAGGTTCTTAAAGCACTTTCTTTACATTAAATACAGATTCTTTAAGATATAAAAAAGGATTATGGCAGCCCTCAGAGTTCTAATAGATACAAAATGTCCAGGTGTGCATGGAACAAAATCATTCCTGCATTTAAGAATTCGGTTCAAGAATTAATTGCAAGCCCAGATTTTATGATCTTAATTCTTGTCAGATAGTCTTGTCGGATGTAATACACATTTGCAAACTAAGCAAGACTCAGCAGGAATAGTGGTAATGGTAATTCTCCCCTTATTAAATGACCTAAATCAGCTTCTATTGATTAAATCCAAGTGGAACTGTTGAAGTGACCACATTCAAGATATTCCTCACGGGCCTTACCCAAATTCTGCACAAGATAGCAGGAATTCTGCTAGTTTTGCAGTCTCTAGGCAAGCTGCCCTTGTTTCCTCTTCTATAACAGAAATATCAAATTGAAAAGAGAAAATGAAACAAGTAAGAATCAAATCCATAGAATTACTGTCATTTTCAAGTATCTGTATTTGTCACTTAAAAAAAACAGAAAACAATTTGCTGAAGTGTTTTGGTTTTTTTGTGATGTGTTTTTTTTTCTTTTTAATTAAATTTTATTTTTATTGCTACAACTTAGAACTTTACTTTTCAGTTGACTTTTCTGCCAGTGACTCCTGTCACTGAGCTCAATTCTGATCCTGTGCCAGGTTCACAGGTTCATTCAAGGCCAGGCTGGATGGGCTTTGAGCAACGTGGTCTGGTGGGGGCTGTCCCTGCCTATAACAGGGGGTTGGAACTAGATGATCTTAAAGGTCCCTTCCAACCCAAACCATTCTGTGATTCCACGATTCTATGATATTGTTGTGAATTATTAAAGGATAATTAAACACCTGCTAAATATTAATTTGGCTCAGCCAAGTTTAGCAGTTAGTAATTGAGGAATTTCAGTGAATGAGAATATAATGCTCTGATTTTTTTTCTGGAATTAGACATTTAATTATACATTTATTTTCCCTATCTTTGACACAACAATAGGCAGTTTTGCACAGTTTGTAACATTTCAGATTTCTTTCCCAATGAGCAGGTGATAAAAGTCACAATTATAAAGATTTGTTGTCTCAGTAGATTCAAGTACTTGTTACAGAAATGCAGAATATGACTTTTTATGAAGAATGTCTATGTATTAAAAATCTTGATTTTTTTTACAAGCTGTTTTTTTCCAATTTTATTTAACTTCACTAGGATGTGATGTCCTAGAAGGAAAGGTTATTCCTTGCTAGAAGAGAGCAAGAACCTCTATGATTAAGACTTACTGGTTGATCTGTCCAGTCGTCATCGTCTCATAAATGGCAGACTGCATAGCATCTGAATAATTACTTTGTCCATCAGCGATCATGTAGAATTGAGGCTGGTCAACAAGTTTTGTTTGAAAATGGTTGTCTGAATTGTCACTGTTCAGGTTAAAAACAAAAAAGTCCTATTGGTATTTCCATTTATTTTGTAGCCTTTAACAAAAAATACTCTTCAGTCTTCTATGAATATAGGGAAGAGAATGTTTAGAACTCAAATAGGCACACATTTCTAGCAATGGGAGCTTTGCAGGTCTAAATCAATAAGTTGGTAGCCATTTGTAGAAGGCAGCCAGTTGTCTTCAGGGTTCTCCACAGTGCAGTGTGCAAAAGCAAAGAGATGCAACTGGAAGTGATGCTCCATTTGCTGGTTAGAAACTGGTTGAAATGAGAGCTACTTAATTCTCATTTCACATCAGTTATTAAAGCACAGGTGATCACCTAATTTAAAACAATGTAGTTATCTCCTAACTTACCAACTTATTCAGTTTTTACTCATCAACTTCATTCCATTATCTATTAACATTTTCCCTTTGCTGGTTAGTATCAAGTTTCAAATATATTCTTCCCTCGTTGCCCGGGAAATTATCACTCAGAGATGAGCTAGAAACTTCTTTTAACTGTCTTTTTTTGAAGAGTTGTCCTTTATATATGTCTCCTTTGTGTGAGAGGTACATTTTGCACATCAGAAGTAGTGGAGTTACTGTGTGCCAACAATAAGCAGGCTGGATACATAGAGGCCCTGAAATAACTAAATTAAACTTCTTTTTTTTGAATGTGCATTCAAAGAAAAGGAAATTAAATGTGGAAGCTGTATTAACATAACATTATAAAATAATCTTGAGTGTGATATTATGTGATAAGCAACATAGAAATCCCTATCATAAAAAAAGAAATAAAGTTAAATAGACAATCCTTGAATTAAGACAGAAATTTTAGGGCTTTAATACAGCAGTCTTTATGTGATTCAATGCAAAAATTCTCATTTTCAGCTCAAACTTTGTGAAGTTACTCTGCAGAAAGAAATGGAGACGATTGCACTCTTTTAGATGATCATGTCATTTAAATCTCATTTCTTCAGAAATAATGAACCATAATAAAAAGGCATTCAAATATATAAACCAAAATTGTATCTCATATAAATAACTGACATCCTGTAAGAAAATGTTCCTGTTGATCTAGGAATTCATATGTATTAGCCTTCAATCTCAAGTCTCTGTATGGTTTTTAAAGAAATGATAATATGGAATGAAAATAGATGTTCACTCAACTCTTTTCCTTTAATGTTCAGAAATATCATAAAAATGTTTCAGGAGAAATATTTTGCATAGAATCATAGCATGATTTTTTTTGATAGAGTGATTTTTTCTTTGTTTCAGATCACACCAAGTTCATCATTACTCTGTTTCACTACTGGATTACAGATATCCTTCCTACAAGGAACAGGAAATAAAGCCTTGTTTATGTCCATATGTGCAGGGTTAAAATTTAATATACAAGCACTTAGTCAAGTAGCAATTATTCAGAAAGAGCAGTGCCAATATACATTCTACATCTTCAGGTAAATGAATTATTTTTTATTTTTATAAACTCCAAAAGCAGGGTACAGCTAGTTATGATCTGTGTTACTTATCAAGACTATACACAAGCTATGTGGCCTGAATCTTCACCTGGATGAGTATATGTATTTCATTTTGGGATAAGGGCCTTATCTAAAACTGTTTCAGTTTGTATCAAATATTTTGTTCAAGAAATATGGTAATTTTTATGTTTATAAACTGATAGTTTCTTTCTGGAAGTACTTGAAAAACAGAAATGTATTTTTATATATAAATTTAAGGAAAAATGCACCTGAGGACTGTATTTTTTATGAATAAACTGATAAATTATGAAAGTAGATAAATTTCTACATCTACATCATGTAGGTACTCTTTGGAATTATACAAGAGTTTTGACTGCAGTTTTAGAACGACTCTGTTTCCCATTGTGTTAGTTTGGTGGGCTTCACTGACCACAGAACTATGGGTCCAGGTTCTCTTTGTGGTTACTGTGCAGCCCCTCTGCACCTGCATTTATCTTTGTGTAGATGTACAATAAATACTATCTATGGCATAGTTGTAAAATATTTTCAAATCCTGAAGAACACAGTGCTTTGTAAGCAAGGGACTCTTCTCTCAGTTGAGTGATCCACCTGATAAGCGATACAAAGGAAGCCATTTCATTCCTTACTATGTTAGTTTCCCCATCAATATGATGGCGACAACATGTTTATCTCTTCCAACATATTCTTGAAGATACATTGCCAGCAGGTATACATATTGCATGTGTTCTTTATCTTATTATTTTGTTGGGTATATCCTACTCAGAGGCATTGTTTTAGTGGTAGGCAAGTGTTTATTTTTTTCATACCTCTTTCTCATTAACTGAATGGCTAAAGCAAGTGTATGCAGGCCTGGAGAATTTGAGTTATGTCTGTACCTAAACAAGATCTCGTACTGGGGAAACTAACAGCGTATTTCCTGTTTTAAAGTTCCTGACTTGCTGACACATAAGCACTGAATTGTAGTTGTCATTTTTCACTGATGTCATGTGTGCTTCAATCCCATAACTGAAGGATGAAGAAAATACTAGCTGAATGTGAAGCTCCTAGATACTATATTGATGGATTCCACAGGAAATTAATCACTTCATTCTCAGTTTGAGATGTGAATGTTGTGCATAAATGGGGCATAGTAACAGCACAAAGAGGATATGTAGCATCTCATTAGGTAAGCATCATCTATCCTGTACAGTGAAAGTGGAAAAATAATAGAAGCCATGTAATTAAAGAAAGTGCTGTAAAACTCAGGTCTAGACTGGTCTGTGAGGACTGTGCAAACAACTGTACTTCCTGTATTTACCAATACTAGAGGGACAGTGTTAAGGGATGTTTTAAGGATGCTGCCTTTGAGAAGCTCCAGAACAAAAGGGACTCTATTGCTGCTTCCTGCCCACTGGAGCCCAGCCCAGCCACTGGAGTTCCCCCTGGAGACCTGGATGTCTCTGTCATCACCATTGGATGCAGCTGCAGCTCTCATGTTTCCAGGTTCAGCCAGTAGTAAGGCATGGCACATATCCCAGGGAGCCATGCACATCCACATTCACACGCATGCACACAACAGTAGTGTGAAGCAGCAGCGTGCCTGTGTGGTAAAGGAGTCTAATAGTATTCTGGGGTGTATTGAAAAGAGCATGGCTAGCAGGTTGAGGGAGGTGATTCTTCCCCTCTACTCTGCCCTGGTGAGGACACATCTGAAGCACTGTGTCCAGATCTAGGTTCCTCAGTTCAAGAAAGACAATGAACTTCTTAAGAGAGTCCTGTGGAGGGCCACAAAGATGATGAGGGGCCTGGAGCATCTTTCTTGAGGCTGAGAGACCTTGGCCTTTTT